AAAAAAAAAAAAAGAAAAAGCAAAAGAAGAAAAGGAAAAAAGAACATTTGTGTTTATGCTGCATTCACTACTGCTGCTATATATATATATATATATATATATATATATATATATATATATATATATGTAATATAAAATATTTACATACAATATATATATATATATATATATATAGGAAGCTTACAGGTTTCTCATTTCTTGTACAGCGAGCAGAATGATACAAATAGCAGTCAGCCCGAAACCCAAACCAAAAAGAATCAAAGCCCCAGCACTGAACCCCTGAACTTCATGAAATTTCGCGAAACCTAAAAAAAAATAAAAAAAAAATAAAAAAAAATAAATAAAATAAATAAAATAAATAAAATAAATAAAATAAATAAAATAAATAAAATAAATAAAATAAATAAAATATATAAAAAAAGAGAATGTTTCATGCGCGTCACACTCAATACAAGAACATTGTTTATACACATACATACATACACACATGCATGCATAAATTTATTTATTTTTTTTTTTTTATGCGTTTAGTTGGTGGTGGTATGCATGCATGCATGTATGCATGTATAGAGAGTGGTTAGGTTAAAGTATAGGGTTTAGGGTTTAGGGTTTTAGGGTTTTAGGGTTTAGGGTTTAGCCCCACTCTCTATGCATGCATGCATGCATGCATGCATGCATGCATGCATGCATGCATGCAGTGCTGCTAGACAGATACACCGGAAAAGTAAAAAAGAAGCATTTAACCTCAAAAAAAAAGCAGAGACGCAGCATGGGTGCAGCAGCAGCACTACAGCAGCAACAGCAGCAGCAACACCAGCAGCAGCAGCAGCAGCAGCAACAGCAGCAGCAGCAGCAGCAGAAATACCTCCTAGGGTACCGAAGAAAGTCCATACAACATAATATGTAGGAACGATCGTTGTTGCGTCTCCTCTTGCTAACCCCAAATTCAAGAAATGTATCTGAAACAAAAATATAAATAAATACACAAAATATAATATTTTTATAAATACATATATTCTATAATAAATATATACATGCATGCTGATGGATGCTCTCGGAATATACTAATACTCTTGCTGCTGCTGCTACTGCTGCTGCTG